GGGTGGGGACACAGAGCCAAACCACATTACAGGGACTGATTGGGTAATTTCACCTAGACAAGGATGACAAGTCATAGCAAGAGGAAATTCTACCATTTTCCATCCTTTTATTATCGTAATGTAACTCACTTAACTGGGGCAAGAATACTGGGTCTTCACCTTCCACCCAACAAGACATAGATTAGGACTCTACCAGGCCAAGGAGAGGGATGGGAAAGTAGGAGGCATTGGGGTCCGGACATGAGGCAGATTACCAGATGTGGGGATGCCAAAGACCTGTGAGAGTGAGATATCAGTGGACAGGAACAGACAGAAGTCAGGTGTCCAAAAGTCTAGCTAAGGGCTAAGGTGTGAATGGGCATTTCTGGTCTGAAATAGCTAAAAGTGAGGAGCATGGGGAACTACAAAGGGCTACTGGCTACCAGGGTCAGCGGCAGACTGGGAGTTCTCAGAGGTGAAGACTCTTTTGTTATGAAGCTGTCTTGGCAGAAGTCATGTCAGCATCTGGGTGGGCCCAGGGCCACAGAAGGGAGCCAAGAGGTGAGAAGAGAATGCAGCTGGTTAGGGCAGAATAAAGTGTAGGAGGCTACAGGTTGCCAGCTTTCTAGGTTTCTGCTCATCAAAGAAGGGTATATTCTTTCATACATATTCTCACTTTTATTGTTGTATTTATCCCAGTGTATTGTTTTTTTCTTTACTAAAAAGTAAGATAAAATCTCATCAGCAGACTTTAAAGCTGCCAGGGCAGAATCTGCAAGGTTGCTCAGCACAGGTGTGGCACACAGTAGGCGTTGTCTGTTTTGCTTGATGCTTAATTGAGGGTTCTTTACCATCCCCCTGGGGTTTCCATTTGGATGCTCAAACTCTTAGAAAGCATATCTCTAAAAATTATTCCAGTGCTTGTTACTCCGACAAAAGGGTTCACGGTGGCTTGGGAGCCAGTGACATAATGTTTTAGCTCTTGCTTCTATGTTCTGCCACAATATGCTAATGAGATAATATTTACTGGGAACTGCTGCGCAGGCTTGGCCCCATGCTTATGGTGCAAATGTCAGTAAAAATATTTGAATACCTGTTACTATCAACCCAGCTAATTAAGTAAAACCATCCCCGGAAAAGGCAGCTCTTCTCATCTCCCTATGAGCTGAGAGATTCAGAACTCAGAACCATGAGAAATGAATGTTTATTGCTTAAGCCACCCCATCTATGGCATCTCCCTATGAGCCGAGAGCTCCTTGAGAACTCCAAATCTTCTGCCCCCATGCCTCTTACTTGGATTTTTTTCCCTAGGCTAACCGTCTTCTAACGAGGTATGGCGTTTATTTTTTCTAATTCCCCAAACACTGTGACACAGTCAGAACAACACTTTTCGGCTGTCCTGTCTAAGCACATTTGTGAAGAAGGAAAAAAGGAGGAGTAGAAAAAGGAGACGATCAGAGGATGTAAGAAGGGAGAAAAAAGGGAAATAGAAAGAAAGGTGAGAGGAAATAAGAAAAGTAAAACGAATCTTCTTGACAGTTTGAGTTTTGCCTTGTTCAGAAAACTGTTTAAATCAGTCCCCTGTCAGAACCTGAAACATCTTTTCTGCTCAGGACACATGCTGTAGGAAACTTAAGGAATACAAAGATGTCTACTTACCTAGATGATTTTCCCACTTTTATGTATGTGTGTGTGTCTGTGTGTGCGTATCTGTGAATGTGTGAGCGCTCGCCCATGTCCCTTAGGGTATGGCCAGCCCTTTCGAGCTAAAACTAAACACAAGCTCTCTACTTATTTGTTCCCGGTACACAAGCTCTGGCTGTAGTTTGGGTTTTTTTTTTTTTTTTTTTTTTTTCCCAGGGAAGAATGGCTTATTGGGATGGCTGAGAGGAGGACAATAATTGTTATTAATTTTCAGGCCATAGATTAGCCGGAGAGTAGGGGAAGAGAGATAATTAACTTTTTTATTTGTAGAATTGCTTTGTAAATTTTGAATTAAAAAGAAGTCCTGCTGGGCACGGTGGCTCACGCCTGTAATCCCAGCACTTTGGGATGTGAGGTCAGGAGTTTGAGACCAGCTTGACCAACATGGTGAAACCTCATTTCTACTAAAGTACAAACACTAGCCAGGTGTGGTGGCACATGCCTGTAGTCCCAGCTACTTGGGAAACTGAGGCAGGAGACTGGCTTGAACTCAGGAGGCAGAGGTTGCAGTGAGTTGAGGTCGTACCACTGCACTCCATCCTGGGCAACAGAGCAGACGTTGTCTCCAAAAAAAAAAGTCCTGCTATGGACTGAATGTTTGTGTCTCCCCTCTCCCCTCTAAATGTGTATATTGAAATCCTAACTCCCAGTGTGATAGTATTGGAAGATAGGGCCTTTGGGGGTTAATTAGGGTTACATACAATCAGGAAGGTAGAGCTCTTGTGAATTAGGTTAATGCCCTTGGAACAAGAGACACCAGGAAACTTCCTTCCTCTCTCTGTTCTCTGCCATGTGAACACAGAGTGAGAAGGCCACCATCCATAAACTGAGAAGCAGGTTCTCAACAGATACCCAGTCTGTTGGCACCTTATCTTTGACTTCCCAGCCTTCAGGACTGTGAGAAAGGAGTGTGTATTGCTTAAGCCACCCAGTCTATGGTAATTTTTTGTGGTAGCCCAAGAGGACTAGACACGTCTCTTTCTCCCTCTCTCCTCCTGAGCTTCCCCGATCCCAGTGAAACCAACTTTGCAAAATTATGGCAGATAGTGAAAGAGATTGACAGTGACTCCATCTTGCTGTTAACCTTCAAGCTGTCCTTGTTTATTCCTGGGCATAGGCTGAACTAACTTTGGGAGAAACTTTGCTTATACTTCATAGTTCAAACAAAGACAGTAACAGCGCTTTCCCAAAGCAGACTTCCTTCTTGCTTGGGGACTACATTGCCTTTGTAGGACTAACGTTAGCCACAAGATTAGAACTTATGGTTTAGGAAACCGGCCAAATGGTGAAACCCTGTCTCTACTAAAAATATAAAAATTAGCCAGACATGGTGGCAGGTGCCTGTAATCTCAGCTACTAGGGAGGCTGAGGCAGGAGAATTGCTTGAACCTTAGAGGCAGAGGTTGCAGTGAGCTGAGATTGCGCCACTGCACTCTAGCCTGAACAAAGAAGTGAGACTCCATCTCAATAAAAAAAAAAAAAAGATGAAATGAAAAGCCAAACTACAAGGTTCTAGGAAGAAGAGAAGAAGACAGCAGAGTCCTCCACATGGAATCAACAGTTGTCAGGGCTTTACTCTGTGTGAGTGAGAGAGAGAGAGAGAGAGAGAGAGAGAGAGAGAGAGAGAGAGAGAGTGTGTGTGTGTGTGTGTGTGTGTGTGTGTGTGTGTGTGTGTGTGTGCTGGGGGAGGAGGTGGTGATAGAGAGTAAGAAAGAGGTAATGTTTGGATGTTCCTGATGGTTATTTTTTTTCCTGATAGCTTTAATTCTGCTTCCTCTACCTTTCCTACCTGCCCTTCTTTACCATCCTTTCAGAGTTTCTGTGTGAATTCTCAACTCATAGAAAGGACTTCTCTAAAAGTTATCCAGGTGCTGTTGCATTTTCTTATTTTCTCTCAGCCTTCTTTCTATTTCTTTTTTCTCCCTTGCTACACACTCCAATTGTCTCCTTTTTCCACTCTTCCTTTTCTCCTTCTTTTTTTCTTCACAAAAACGATTAGACAGGACAGCCTAATCATTTCCCTAACCCTAGGATGACAGTGAGGGAAGGAGAGGATACAAATTCCATGTCCAATGGAAAGCTCTTCAGTGGATGTGGGGGTGACAGGAGGTGAAAGAAGTAAGCAACAGAGAGTGGAAGGAAGGGTAGTATTGTGTTGGCATTAAGAATGCAGGTTTTGGACACACCTGGATTTGAATCTTGGGGTTAGGATACAGCAGCCATTGAATCACTTAACTTCTCTTAGTGTCAGCTTTCACATCTGTGAATGGGAATAAATTAGACTGTATTTAGAGCATTTAGCAATGCTATATATTTAGTTAAAACTCAATAAATGTAGATACTATTAAGTGTGGAATACTGGAGGGCAAAAGCATTGAAGGAGTAGTTTTTATATGAAGGTGCGTGAGAAATGAGTTGGACACAGCCTGAAGAGTACAAGTCCCACCTGCCGCCCATCCCTGTGCCAATTCTCTGGGCAAACATGGGAACTGGGTGAATGGGTTGCCTGCATCTGAGAGGACTTCAGGGAGATCTGGCAAAAGGTAGATGAGCAGTTATCAGGGATTCTGTTTTTAAAAAAATCGTGCCTTACATCTCAGTGGCAGCTAGATGACCCCCAATGTCTATTAAAGCCTAATTAGAAAAACATACACATGATACAAAATCCAAAACCTGCAAAAGGATTAGGTACAATTAAAAAGAAGCCATTCTTCCACTCTGTCCTAATTTTCGGCTCCCTCTCCCAAGAAGCAACCACTGTAACTAGTTTCTTATATTTTTAACTGTATTTTAAATGTTCTAGTCTCCAAAACCTCTTTGCAGAATATCCCATTGTCCTTTATGCATGCATTAAAATCTAACTTTCAATGTTCCCTTTTATACTACTTGAGAACTTCTGTGACTGTGATAGCTGGTCTGATCATGACCCTGCCAGCTGTTCACAAGGGGAGTATACTGAGCACTGGGAGCATCCAGGACAGGAACATGGATAGGCAGGAACACACAGCATGTGCAGGTGGGGGCTGGAAGCAGCCAAGCTCTCTTGTTTTCTGGTGGGAGAGCCCTGCCTACCTGCTCTCCCACCAGAGACATTGCCTGTCTCCTCTTGTGGCCCAGATCATAATGAAGCAAGAGAATGCTGAAATAGACAGATGCAGTGTGGTGAGGAGAAAGGAGGAGGAGAGAAGTGCATCCATTCCCAGAGGTTAGTGGGCAGAGGAATAAAGGGATGTTTTATTCTGTCCAGAAAGCCTGGAGAACAGTCCTATAGGGCCAAGAGGAGGAAAAGTTGAACTAGAAAGAAAAAGGAGGCAGAACCCGCGGGATGAAGTGCGTGTTTGTTACCGTAGGGACCACCAGCTTTGACGACCTCATTGCGTGTGTGTCAGCGCCCGACAGTCTACAAAAAATCGAGAGCCTTGGTTACAGCCGACTTATCCTGCAAATTGGTAGAGGAATGGTGGTACCTGAACCCTTCAGTACTGAGTCATTTACTCTGGATGTTTACAGGTACAAGGATTCCTTGAAAGAAGATATTCAGAAAGCTGATCTTGTTATTAGTCACGCAGGTGCAGGAAGCTGTTTGGAGACTCTGGAAAAAGGCAAGCCACTCGTGGTAGTTATAAACGAAAAGCTGATGAACAATCATCAGCTGGAACTGGCAAAACAGCTACACAAAGAGGGTCATCTCTTCTATTGTACCTGCAGCACGCTTCCTGGGCTGTTACAGTCAATGGACTTATCAACACTGAAATGTTATCCTCCTGGCCAGCCAGAAAAATTTTCTGCATTTTTGGATAAAGTTGTTGGATTACAAAAATAAACACTAAACTCTCAACACTTTAAAAAACAACCCCCAAATTCAACCTATGGAATGTGATTAAATCAAATTAAATACATAATATATATTTAGAGAATAATATAGTTAATAAATTACCTACATCTATAGAACGTATAGGAAATTTTATGGTGTGCACATTTGCATTTGGGTCCAAATCCTAATTGCAGTTTAGTAAACTCACTAGATTTTTTTTTCTGATCTTCAGTATGTAGTGAGCATTCACAGGTTTTATCCTAGAATCCCAAGTGGATTTAGAATCGTGAAAATGAGTGACATTTGAAAACTTTGACAAAGTTTATAAATGTACAGGTAGTTAGTTTGATGTTCCTTAGAATAAAAAATGAAACAGTAACAACTTTTTAAAAATTTTACATGAGAATCAGCATCTTTAGCTTTATAATCTAAGGAGCCAAATTTAAAAAATGATGGATTATGCTCTGTGAAATAAAAAGTTCAATCATTGCCTAAAAATGATGATCAAGTTAGTTGATCTGTTGTACTTGGAAAAGCTACTTTTATCCTGAAGAATAGAGTGGAGTGGATATGTTCACTATTTCTTTCTAAAACATACATAGAAAGTGATAAAATAATCATGGCTAATGTCAAAACTTTACTGGTTTGAGAAGAATAATCAAAAAGGACTTATACCAATAGGACTTACTATTGATTTTTAAGGATGCCCTCTCACAGTAGTGATGAAACATTAACTGTAATAGAAATTTACAATTTATGTGTTTATAAAATTAGTTTTACAAGTGAACAATAAATGATCTGATACATAAAAAAAAAAAAAAAAAAGAAAAAGGAATACAGAGGACAGTGTCACCTACTCTGTCTGCAGAGTGGGTGACTGCAAAACAGAAGATGTAAATGCTTTTTCCTCTCCTGTTGTTCCAAAACTACCTAATTATATATTCTTGTCAATGGTGACTTCATTCCTTCTGCCATTCTACATGGCACTGTCCCTTTCTGATAACACAGTATATGTTCATTGTTGATTTTGCTCAGAAGCCCCCATGGGGCTGCTCAGCCCCAGCTTTTACAACATGGTCTGATTTCAGTAATTTTATAAGGCAAACTCATTAGAAACAAGTTGGGGGCCCACAGAACAGATAAATGAATAGTCTGCTAAGCTATCCATTTAAAATGGCTATAATAAAAATGTTAATAAACATCAATATTTGTATCATGGTTTAGGATCACTTTTAACAAGCAATTCTGTGTGCTCTTTGAATGATTTTTTTTAATAGATGACTTCTCTGTTGTCAAATTTGATCTTGACTCAATGAGATTATGCCATCCCACTACGTCTGTGCTTGAGTTAAAAAGCCTCTTGGCTGAGTTCCACAATTGAACCTAAGAGTTGAAGAGTTGGACTCCTTAGTGACTTTTATAAGTGGTTGTCACCTTTATGCATGATTTGGGGTGGAGATTGTTGCTACTCTAAATTGCAGATTCTATAGAGACACCCCCAATTCTAAAACTTGCAGAATTAACACCTGCTTGGATGAATGACTAATTTGGACCCCCCAAAATCCATTTATGAGCCAGAACTATCTGAGTTGGGTGTCTGGACAACTAGTGAATGTTAATTTACTTTCAACTTTATATTTGGGTCTTTAGACTTTGACTTATTAGGCCACCAGACATTTCTTAAAAACAGATAGGGTCATGTAAACCAAAGGCTTTATTCACTCATTGACTCGGTTTCCTCATCTGTAAAGTGGGAGTGATGATAATCTCTACATTTCAGAGTTTCAAATAGGACACATACATGTATATATGTGTATATATATACACACATATATACATATTTGTGTCTTATTTAAATAAATTACTATATATTAAGTGCCTAACAGTGGTGCCTGCTGTGTTAACTATTATTATAATTACTCTGCAGTGGCCACTCTAGGATTTTCCTAACGTTCCTCACTCAGATGTGTAAAAATGGTAGACTTAGTTTTGTGTTTCTCTTAGTTTTGTGTTTGACGTCTTTTGCAAAGTTTTGCAGGTACATGCAGATGATGTAAGCCAGAAATTATCAGATCGTCTACCACCAAATGATACTTCTCCAGGGTTGTTTGTTTTCTCTCTGATCTCTTTTTACTTATCAACTCTCGCCAACACAGATTATTTACAGTAAGGGCTTTAATGGGGAAGGGACTGTTCTGTTTACTGAAAGATAAAGATTAACTTAAAATTAGCTATGAGGCCTCTTTTGTCCATATCTTGTTGAAAATATTCCCAAATAAACAAGTCTATTTTCCTGTCCTCAGATAGTTCCAGAAACATGTAAGTTCATGTTTCAGTGGTGATGGAAGCTCTTGGAGTGACTGGGTCATTGCTCTTAACACTGGCTTTAGTCACACAGGCCTGAGAATCTAAAAGCTGAAGAGCAGGTGTTGGCAACTTGAGCCAAAGTTGACAGTGAGGCTAAAGTTTCTTTGGGCTTACTGTATTATAATCGCGTCTTACATAGTTTTGTGTTGCAGGTACTCGAGAAATATTTGTTTGATAATTGGATCCTTGCTCCCTGAGATCCCTAGCCTCTCCTGCCACCTCCTTCCTCTCACCCATCTTTTTCCAGAAACATTTAAGACAGTTTACAAGGACTCCTAAAATATAAAGAATGTGGGAGACATTACTTAAGGATAAATCAGTATCAGCCATGTCTTTCCTTTCTCCCTGCTGTGTGGCCGTGTTTCCACTGCGGTGAGGCCATTTCTGCTGTCAACGCAGATTGCACCAGGAATTGGGGGCATGGGGTGGGCAAAGCAATGGCTGAATATAGCAAATCAGATTCTCTCTCCTGAAAGAGAGACAGTTCTCAGTGTGGGGTGATGTTATTTCTTCCAGAAACTTCCTTTTTGGTGTAGTTAGAAGTAAATCTTGTTATGTCCATTTTAGGGTACTGGGGCTTAGAGAAGTGAGGTCATGCGGAGTTGGGATTTGAATTCAAGTTTACCTGACCTGATCATCTAGAATCCTGTGCTAACCAATATGGCAGCCACTAGCCACATGTGGTTATTTAAATTTAAACTTAAAGTAATAAACATTAAGTTGAAAAATTTGGTTTCTCAGTCATACTAGCCACATTTTAAGTGCTCCTTATCCACATACGGCTAGTGGCTACTTATGATAAGAAACATACTCAAAGTGTTTTCCTCTGCTCTCACCCTGCCAACAACAATCAGTACAGAAGACCCCTGTGACCAAACGTATGGGGGTTTTTCCTCACATACTTAAACAAGAAATTAATTTTGCAGTGGACACCAGCTGAGTATCCTCCAGTTCAATCCTGATGTAATCTACCTGGGAGACAGCCTCGAAAACCATATGTTAAGGGCTTAGTCCCATAGGACCGCCCGCCCCACTTCCCACAAATCACAACTCCAGGCCCTGGGAACCTTCTGACCAAAGGTCTTCAAGTTGGGGTTCCCAGGACCCCCTCTTTAGGTTAGATTAATTTGCTAGAGTGGCCTTAGTCTGGCTTAGTGAAATAGGGCAAAGGTAGCAATCAGAGATGAATTTGTCTCACATGAGCACAAGGATGACTTTCAGTTCTGCCTGTCCTTTGTCCACAAGTCATTTCCTTGTAGGCAAATTGTGATGGAGGTGTGTAGCTTTTTAATCTTTGTAGCTATCTTATTTAAGAATAGAATGCGAGGTAGGTTTGCCCACAGTTCCCAGCTTGACTTTTCCCTTTGACTGAGTGATTTTGGGGGGTCCCAAGATTTATTTTCTTTTCACAGACTCAAGCTCAACTTCAATATCCTATGAATAGCACAGATTTCCAAAACCCAGGAGTCACTAATAGTCAGCATTATTTCTTTTTCCTATGCCATCAACAAATTTTCAATGTAGATGAAACACCCTTCCATTGAAAGAAGATGCCATCTAGAACTTTCTTAGCTAGAGAGGATGTCAATGCCTCTCAAAGGACAGGCTGACTCTCTTTTTAGGGGCCAATGTACCTGGTGACTCTAAGTCGAAGCCAGTGCTCATTTATTATTCTAGAAATCCTAGGGCCCTTGAGAATTATGCTAAATCGACTGCCTGTGCTCTATAAATGGAACAACAAAGCCTAATGACAATATATTTGTGTACAGCATGTTTTACTGAATATTTTAAGTCCACTCTTGATGATACCTACTGCTCAGAAAAAAAGATTCTTTTCAAAATATTAGTGCTTATTGATAATGCACCCAGTCACCCAAGAGCTCTAATGAAGATGTACAAGAAGATTAATGTTGTTTTCATGCTTGCTAACACAATATCCACGGATCAATGAGTAAGTTTAACATTTAAGTTTATCATTTCAGAAATACATTTGAAAGGCTATATAGCTGCCATAGATAGTCATTCCTCTGATGGATTGGGGCAAAATAGATTGAAAACTTTCTGGAAAGGATTCTCCATTCAGAACATTCATGATTCATAGGAGGAGGTCAAAATATTAACATTAATAGGAGTTAGGAAGAAGTTGATTCCAATCTTCATAGATGACTTTTTACAAATTATTTTACTGGTGGCGCATGGTGACTCACTCCTGTAATCCCCGCATTTTTGGAGGCTGAAACAGGAGGACTGCTTTAGTGCAGGAGCTCAAGACCAGCCTGAGCAACATGGTGAGGCCCTGTCTCTAGAAAAAAAATGCAAAAATTAGCCAGGTGTGTGATATTGTACCTGTAGTCCCAACTACCGGGAGGCTGACGTGAAAGGATCACTTGAGTTTGAAAGGTCAGCACTGCAGTGAGCCATGACTGCACCATGGCGCTCCAGCCTGGGCAACAGAATGAGACCCTGTCCCTACAAAGGAATACAATAAATAAATAAGTAAAATTATTTTACTGATAACCCAGATCCTCATGAATGACTTGGAGGGGCTCAAGACTTTACTGGAGGAAGTAACTGCAGATGTGATGGAAGTAGCAAGAAAGCTACAGTTAAAAGTGGAGCCTGAAGATGTGATGGAAATAGCAAGAAAACTGCAGTTAAAAGTGGAGCCTGAAGATGTGATGGAAATAGCAAGAAAACTACAGTTAAAAGTGGAGCCTGAAGATGTGACTGGATTGCGGCGCTCTCACGATGAAATTTGACCTGATGAGGAATTGCTGCTTCTTTTTTTTTTTTTTTTTTGAGATGGAGTCTTGCTCTTTCATCAGGCTAGAGTGCAGTGGCACAATCTCAGCTCCCTGCAGCCTCCGCCTCCCTGGTTCAAGTGATTCTCCTGCCTCAGCCTCCCAACAAGCTGGGACTACAGGCACATACCACCACGCCTAGCTAATTTTTGTATTTTTAGTAGAGACGGAGTTTCACCATGTTGGCCAGGATGGTCTTGATCCCTTGATGTCGTGATGTGCCCGCCTTGACCTCCCAAAGTGCTGGGATTACAGGTGTGAGCCACCGCACTTGGCCAAAAATTGTTTTTTATAGATAAAGAAAGTGGTTTATCGAGATAGAATCTATCCTTGGTG